GTGTCACTGAGGATGTCAGTGACCACAAGTCAGTTCCTCCCCAGTGTCAGAATGTCCGCTGCAGTCCTGCAGCCCTGCCAAAAGTTGCTGATCGCCGCAAGAAGAAGCTGATCTCCGCCATTATTAGTATAAAAAAAATTTAAAATCCCAGTATCTTTCCCGCCATTTGTAAACGCTATAACTTTCACATAAACCAATTAATTTATATGTAGTGGTTTTTTTTTTTTTTTTAGCAAAGACATGTCGTAGAATACATTTTGGCAGAAATTTATGACTAAATTTGATTTTTAATTTTTTTATTACTGGACATGTTTTATAGCAAAAAGTCCAAAATATTTTTTTTTCCCTCAAAATTGTCAGCCTTTTTTTTTATAGCGCAAAAAATAAAAAACACACAGGCAATCAAATACCATCGTAAGAAGGCACAATTTGTGCGAAAAAAAGGATGTAAATTTCATTTACGTACCGTATTGCATGACCGCGCAATTGTCTGTTAAACTAGCGTAGCACTGTATAGCAAAAAAATGGCGTAAATTGCAGTATTTATACCATAGTTTGTAGACGCTATAACTTTCACACAAAGCAATCAATATACACTTATTGGGATTTTTTTTACTAAAAACATGGAGCAGAATACATTTTGGCCTAAATTTATAACTAACTTTGAGTTTACTATATATTTTTTATAGCTGAAAGTAAAAAATATTTTTTTCTTCAAAATTTTTGGTCTTTTTTTGTTTATAGCGTGAAAAATAAAAAGCGCACAGATGATCAAATATCACCGAAAGAAAGCTCTATTTGTGTGAAAAAAGGACGTAAATTTCGTTTGGGTGCAGCATTGCATGACTGCGCAATTATCAGTTTATTTAGTGCAGCGCTGAGTAGCAAAAAGAGGCCTGGTCATTAAGGGGGGTAAATCCTCTGGAGGACAAGTGGTTAAATAAAACAAAGGCGTGTCCTAATATCAGTTTGTAGGAGGGGCCTAACCAGTGTACATGAGAATTGAATAAACACACGTGGATACTTAAACTTTGTCAATATTGTAGCAATTGATTGTTCACAGAAATAAGGCAATTTACAGCAATTACACCACACATGTTGCAGGTCATACACTTCTTCAGGTAGAAGAAGACGCTATTTACCCACAAGGCACTTTCCAATAATAATATATTAGATACTTACAGAATGCCAGAGGAGCAAAACCATGACCTCCTAAACTAATAGACAGGGAATATCTGGCATGTAGAGAGATTCCTTGACAACTAGTAAGGCACATAATTAGGTAGCAGAACTGATGTTATCACTCCAACAGATGTTTGGTAGACCTCCCAATGGGAATGGATAGGACCCCTAAGGCTACTGCACAGAACTTCCTCCAACACTACACCTTTAGGCAATTGTTGCACAAAAGGAAACAGAAAGGAGACCCACACTCCACATACTGTCAACAAGATTACAAGATTTAATAAAAATTAAAAATGTACTTACAATAAAGATAATAGCTGTTAAAGGATAAGCGCTGTTAAAGGATAAGTTCATCTTTTAACAAAAAGAATAAATGCACATTTTTTGCAGGTAAAAAAATGTGTATTTATTATTTTTTGTTTGTGGAGCCTCTAAAGCAGTGGTCTCCAAACTGTGGCCTAGGGGTCGAATGTGGCCCTTCCCTTGCTTTTATCTGGCCCTTGGGGCATTATTCCACCAACTAACAACATTGATGGGCCACTATTCTTTCGATTGATACCAACTATGGGGCACTATTCCTTCCATTTAAACCAATGATAGGGGACTATTTCTTCCATTTAATTCAATGGTCGGGCACTATTCCTTCCATTTAAACCAATGATAGAGGACTATTTCTTCCTTTCAAACCAATAATAGAGCATTGTTTATGCCAACTGATGCTGGAGCATCTTCTACTCCCACTGGTTACAGTCCTGCCCCCTAAAGTCTGAAGGATTGTAGACAGGCCCTTTGTTTAGAAAGTTTGGAGACCCTTGCTGTAGATCATTGTACCATCTATCAGCAGATCACTGGTGCCATGCCAGCGCTGTACATTACAAAGGGAGACAGAACATGCGACCGTACAATAACAATACAATGTGATACACGAGGGGTTCGGGGGCCCTTCTCCTTCGAGCTTACAATCTAGGAGGGAGGGGAGAATGGTACAGGAGGAAATGGATGAGGGGGATGGAGTGGTAGGAAGAGTGGAGGAGGTCGGCAATTAGCAGGGGGTGGGGTAGGCTTCCCTGAAGATGTTGGTTTTCAGGGTGAGCCTAAAGGAGAGGAGAGTAGGTGATAGTCTGATGGGTTGGGGCAGGGAGTTCCAGAGGATGGGTGACACCCTGGAGAAGTCCTAGAGGCGGGCATGGGAGGAGGAGACCAGGGAACTAGAGAGAAGGAGGTCTTGTGAGGAGTGGAGTGTGCATGTTGGGTGGTACTTGGATATTAGGTCGGTGATGTAGTTCGGGGCAGTATGGTGGACAGCTTTGTACGTCAGTGTTAGGATTTTGAATTTGATCTATTGCGCAATCGGAAGCCAGTGGAGGGATTGGCAGAGGGGGGTGGAGGAAACGGAGCTGTTGGTAAGGTGAACGAGTCTTGCTGCCGTATTCAGGATCGACTGAAGCGGGGATAGCCTGTGGTGAGGCAGACCAGTGAGGGATGGTCAGAGACTGTAGACATACTACAGAATATGGTCAGAGACTGCAGACATACTACAGCAGATGGTCAGAGACTGCAGACATAATACAGCAGATGGTCAGAGACTGCAGACATACTACAGGAGATGGTCAGAGACTGCAGACATACTACAGGAGATGGTCAGAGACTGCAGACATACTACAGGAGATGGTCAGAGACTGCAGACATAATACAGCAGATGGTCAGAGACTGCAGACATACTACAGGAGATGGTCAGAGACTGCAGACATACTACAGGAGATGGTCAGAGACTGCAGACATACTACAGGAGATGGTCAGAGACTACAGACATAATACAGCAGATGGTCAGAGACTGCAGACATACTACAGCAGATGGTCAGAGACTGCAGACATACTACAGCAGATGGTCAGAGACTGCAGACATACAACAGCAGATGGTCAGAGACTGCAGCCATACTACAGGAGATGGTCAGAGACACCAAGCATGTTACAAGTGTGTTCTAGCAGTGAGTGGTGTTTTCCCAGTGTGGAAAAATGTCAGTCACTGCACTATGTGTGAACAGCGCCTTACAAATTATAACAAAGTTACAGAAAGCACAGTTAGGAGGACAGTTAATAAGTATCTGAAGCTGCCAGCCTGACCAAGCCAAATCCTTCAAATCACAGAGGGCTCACACAGGATTCTGTCACAAACAGCTGAAAGCCATCACTAGTGATGTGTGACCACCCATATGTAATTGTAATGCTGGCTGCAGCGTCTTCCAGAAGTCCAATGATCAGTGTGTTCACCGTCCGGTGTACAGCTTGCTAGTACAAATATATAAAACAGTAACCAAGTAGGACAAGAGTGAGGGGAGTCGTTCCCTAATCAGGGTGATTATTGCCCAGGGGCGGATTGACAATTCATGGGGCCCCCGGGCAATAGGGGATCATGGGGCCCCTGTGTCCTTGCCCAAACTCAAAAAAAAGCCTATGAGAAAGGTACCAGGGACATCTTATGGGGCCCCTACTGACCTCGGGCCCTCGGGCAGTGCCCGAGTTTCCAAATGCTCAGTCCGCCCCTGTTCTTGCCTAAGCCACACACTGATCATAGCAGCATCCCAGCCATTAGCTATCTGGTCTTGTGAGAGTTGATTATTTTGGTAATGTATTCTTTTAATCATGTATTTATTCCTCATAATGTATTTGGTTATTGTGAACGCTGTAACAAACTGTATTTGTTGTCTTTAAAATCTTATGGTTTAGTTCGCAAGCAAACAGATCTGAATGTGTGTACAAAACTGCAGGGATACATGCCAAAGAGCCTTTCCTCATCTTTCTTATGAACATGATTTCATGCCCAATCATCAGTCGTGTCTAAGATGTAAATATACAGCAATTAAGCACTTTAGCAGACTCATTTTCATCCTGCGCTGAATAATCTCACAGTACAAGTCAGTCTTCATTTTCTGTGAAATGAACATAAATGACTTGATTTTGTCATTTTAACTCAAACTCGATGCAATAATGTAAATGACTCATTTTCTCTAGAATGCAAAGTACAGGTAGGCGGAGTTTCAAACAATGATCTCTAATACATTTTGCGAAACCAAATATATGTAGCACTTACTCCCGTAGGAGCCGCTGGAAATTTGACAAAGTAAATGAAAGTGTTACTAAACCCACAACAGTAAATCAGTCTGTATATGAAGTAAAGCATGCTTGTTATACTCACTGTGGAACCTAAGGCATTAATCCTCTGCATTGTGTAAACATGCAGTTTGATCCTGACTTCCTTGATCCTCCCCTTCTTCCAGAGTCCCCCTCTTATCTCCTGATAAGACATATCGTGTGGAGACACTCTGCACATGCTCAATTTGGGTATGTATTGCTAGAGAGGTTTTTTTTTGTCTTGAGAGAGTGCATGTGATCAGCACAGGGCCAATCAGCATTGCCCAGACAGAGTCAGGGGTTCTTCATCCTCCTAGCAAAAACTCCTCCTACAAGCATTAACCAGTGCTCTGCTGCACACTGACAGAAGTCAAAAGACTGCTATATACTGCTGATGAGAAAAGGTATTTAGCAGTTTATATTTTAAAATTAGCATACTTACTAAAATAATGAATGCATTATCCAGGGTCCAGGGAGACCAGATATAGGGCTGTGGGAGACCAGAGATAGGGAATAGGGTCTGGGGAGACCATATATAGAGAATGCAGGGTCCGGGGAGGTATGGGAGATCGGGGAGACCAATATAGGGAATTCAGGGTTCGGGGAGACCAGATATAGTGAATGCAAGGTCAGGGGAGAGCGGATATAGGGAATGCAGGGTCGGGGAGACCAGATATAGGGAATGCAGGGTTCCGGAGACCGGATACAGTGAATGCAGGGTCCGGGGAGACTGGATATAGTGAATGCAGGATCCGGGAGACCAGATATAGGGCATGCAGGGTCCGGGGAGACCAGATATAGGGCATGCAGGGTCCGGGGAGACCAGATATAGGGCATGCAGGGTGCAGACCAGATATAGGGAATGCAGGGTCCGGGGAGACCAGATATAGGGCATGCAGGGTCCGGGGAGACCAGATATAGGGCATGCAGGGTCCGGGGAGACCAGATATAGGGAATGCAGGGTCCGAGGGACCAGATATAGGGCATGCATCGGTTAGACCAGATATAGGAATGCAGGGTCTGGGGAGACCAGATATAGTGAATGCAAGGTCAGGGGAGACCAGATATAGGAATGCAGGGTCCGGGGAGACCAGATATAGGGAATGCAGGGTCTGGGGAGACCAGATATAGGGAATGCAGGGTCCTGGGTTTAGTAACACTTTAAATATACAAAACATTCTCAATTTACAGTACAGTAAGCTCAATTTACAGTAAGCTTTGCTCTTCTGCCTCCTCCCCCCCCGCTGCCCTTTTTGGCACCTTTTTAGGGGGAGCAGGTACCTGGTTTTGAAAGGTACCTGCCCCCACTTTCGCCTCAGTTTTCCAAGGTCCCAGAGGACTGCAGCCCATTCACAAAGTGCAGTGCGTTTCATGCATGAGTGGTAGGAAACTGGCGGTGAAGTCGCAGAGCTTCACTGCCAGTTTCCCTTAGTCAAGATGGGGTGTCAGCACCTAACAGCCGACTGATGAATCGGTGCGGGGTGAGGACACCACTGGATGCCTGGACTATTAAAAGTCAGCAGCCAAAGTATTTGTAGCTGCTGATTTTTAATTTCTTAGGGGGAATGTAGTGGGGGCTGGAACTCTGCTTTAACCATGACTATGCATTTTATTATATTTTTACACAAGTGCAACAGCACACCAGTGGATTGCCCCGAAGCCAGCCACATGAACATAGTCACTCTTTTCCTCAATAACCAATCTACGGGTGTTGTATTTGTTATTTTTATTTTGGGAGAACTTGGACAGGATTGAGGGAATTGAGTGGGATACTCCAAAAACAGGAATATGTACAAGTTGAGGATAGTGATCTCCTTTCAATAAAGCTGAAGCAGAAGTTCTTGCATCTAGCAAACTGTGGACTTGGCTTGTAATAGAAGCAGTGAAAGCACATAAGCCCAGGGGTGGACTGACCATTCGGGTACTCAGGCACTGCCCGAGGGCCCGGGTCAGTAGGGGGCCCCATGAGATGTCCCTGGTACCTTTTATAGGCTTTTTCGGGTTGTGGTTTGAGTGTGGGCAAGGACACAGGGGCCCGATGATCCCCTATTGCCCGGGGGACCCCATGAGTTGTCAGTCCGCCCCTGCATAAGCCTCTTCCTTCAGAGCAACAAGAGCAGAGTCCCTTCAGAGAGAAGTAGATAGACTAGTAGATAGACTAAATTCTTCAAAACACCAACCAATGTCCCCTTTAACAAACACATGTAGCTGACTCTCTAGCACAGGGTTTCTCAACTAGGGTTCCTCCATAGGTTGCTAGGGGTTCCTTGAGCAAAGCGCAATATCCTCTTCTCAGATAGGTTCCCGCTGACACCATTGATATTTTTAGCGATCTATAAGGGGGTAATTCTTCTCAATGACCACAGGTGTAAGAAACATTCTTCCCTCTGACCATGACATGAATGTATCATGAACTGTAGGTACAGTAATTTTTTTAGAAGGGGTTCTCTGAGACCAAAAAGTCATTTCAAGGGTCCCTCTGTGTTGAAAATGTTGAGAAAGGCTGCTCTAGCACAAGAGGGGTGGCAGCAGCCTAAAAGTCTCTAAGATCTCTCACAACAGTGTGTACCCACACATATCCAGGGACAGTTGGTTGCCTCCTTCCAACATCCTTGCGACACCTTTCTCCTGTGATACCAGACTAGAGCTTCAGCAGACAGCCCCTCAGTCAGCTCTCTTGTAGCTTCAGTATCCACATGGCAGAGTTGCCCTGGAGGGCAGCAAGACCTTCAAGCTGTGTTCCTCTCCTACTGGAAAAGACCCAGAGCTCTGTGTGCTAAGAAAATATATACAGTTACCCAGCATGCCATCAGGGTCCAGCTTCCTGGGATTGGCCAAGGCTGTATAAATATTCATACTGCAATCTGCATAACTCCATTTAAATTTAAAATGTACCTGACAAAAATACACACAGCCCCACTGAACACAGTGAGCCAGCACTAAATCTAACTAGTCCTAGCACAGAGGATGCTACATACAGTATAGTAAAAATGGGACTTTCTTGGTGCCATCAAAAACCAGCCACATAAAATGCAATACAAATTATATTAGATTACAAATATAATACACATTTCATGATAAAATAGTGTATACAAACACAGTTACAGCATTTATAACACAGGACCAGTGGCATATAGAATCCTCGTCACTCTTGTCATCCCAGACTCTCAGTTTGGCATTTATTTGTATAAAGTTCCTTCTTAGTTCAATTTTTTTTTTTATACAAGCTTAAAGGATAAGATCTTTCAACAAAAATTAATAAACGCACATTGTTTTGCAGGTATAAAGATATGTATTTCTTATTTTTTGTTGCAGGAGTCTTTAAAGCATTGCACCAGTGAACAGCAGATCACTGGTGCCATGCAGATCTCCTGCAGAGCTGTCAGTGAATTTGCGTGCTCATACTTCATACGTTATTTACAGGAAGAATCAATGAACTACCACAGCAGTAGTTCATTGAGAACTACAAGCTGACAGCCGCTATGGCTGTTGGGACTTGTAGTTTCTCATGCATAGAACACTGTGAATGAGTGACGTGGCCTGGTGGGTGGAGCCCCACACGGCCACATTTTTTTCAAATTTTGACAGCTAGCAGGGAGAGAAGTTCTCCCACTCATCAAAATGGGGGAGCAGATGGTTTACATGTCAATACGCCACATCTAGTGACGTCACAGCTGGTCGGTAGAACATGCGTGGCTTCTGGGATTGAAATTGCAGTGGCCATCTTCCCCTCATACAAACTGCATATACATAGGCACCTTAACAAATGAGTGTAATGTGTATATGTTGCATTTTTAATTAAATCTAATGATTTTACGCCATTAGTCCTCTAACCTGGCATTTTATTTCCTCAGTGACCAAATGTAATATCTCCTGCGCTCCGGGACCCAGGCCGGTGGTGAGTAGATGGAATCAAACTCCAAAAAGAAAGGAACCACCGGAATAAACAAGGTCGTGCAGCTCCACATCAAGGCTGGGGAAGCCCAAACAAAACTGTGAAAGAGAACAACAAAAGAGAAGCGCACCAACCTTGCGCATTACCTCAGTAACCAAAAATTTATTGAATAAAAGAATGGTACTCACAAACAGCGAATAAAAATAAAAAAAAGGACTTACATGCTTGTTTTTATTCGCTGTTTGTGAGTACCATTCTTTTATTCAATAAATTTTTGGTTACTGAGGTAATGCGCAAGGTTGGTGCGCTTCTCTTTTGTTGTTCTCTTTCACAATTTTATTTCCTCAGTCGAAGTGGATTTTCTGTGGAAAACAAATAGGAGCCACGTGATGGAGGATACAAGTAAATGGGGGTACCTCAAAAGCGCTAAGTGACCCGATTAGCACTAGCAGGTCAGTTTTACATAGTGAGTGCCAGTTGATGTGGGGACACCAGAAGCACTTTGAGTGGAGCACCTGTTTTTTTGAAGAATGAGCACTTAATACTGAAAGCAGTCTTATTGGGACTTTTATTTCATTTGATTTCTGATTTCATTTTAATTGTACTGATAATATATACACTATATTGCCAAAAGTATTGGCACACACCCCTCCAAATCATTGAGTTCAGGTGTTCCAATCACCTCCATGGCTACAGGAGTATAAAATCAAGCACCTAGGCATGAACACAGTGAATTCACGCATGGTACCGTGGTAGGTTGTCACCTGTGTAATAAGTCCATCCGTGACATTTCCTGGCTACTAAATATTTCACGGTCAACTGTTACTGGTATTATAACAAAGTGGAAGTAACTGGGAAAAACAACAACTCAGCCATCAAGTGGAAAGCCACGTAAAATGACAGAGCGGGGTCAGTGCATGCTGAAGTGCACAGAAGTCGCCAACTGTCTGCAGAGTCAATAGCTAAAGACCTCCAAACTTCGTGTGGCCTTCAGATTCGCACAGCAGTGTGTAGAGAGCTTCATGGAATGGGTTTCCATGGCCAAGCAGCTGCATCCAAGCCTTACATCACCAAGTGCAATGCAAAGCCTTGGATGCAGTGGTTTAAAGCACACCGCCACTGGACTCTAGAGCAGTGGAGACGTGTTCTGTGGAGTGAGGAATCACGCTTCCTTAACTGGCAATCCGATGGACATGTCTGGGTTTGGTGGTTGCCAGGAGAACAGTACTTGCCTGACTGCATTGTACCAAGTTTAAAGTTTGGTGAAGGGGATATTATGGTGTGGGGTTGTTTTTCACGGGTTGGGCTTGGTCCCTTAGTTCCAGTGAAGGGAATTCTTAAGAATTCAGCATGCCAAGAAATTTTGGACAATTTCATGCTCCCAACTTTGTGGGAACAGTTTGGGGATGGCCCCTTCCTGTTCCAACATGACTGTGCAGCAGTGCACAAAGCAAGGTCTATAAAGACATGGAGGAGCGAGTTTGGGGTGGAGGAACTTGACTGGCCTGCACAGAGTCCTGACCTCAACCCGATAGAACACCTTTGGGATAAATTTGAGCGGAGACTAGGAGCCAGGCCTTCTCGTTCGACATCAGTGCCTAACCTCAAAAATGTGCTTCTGGAAGAATGGTGAAACCTTCCCATAGACACCCTCCTAAACCTTGTGGACAGCCTTCCCAGAAGAGTTGAAGCTGCTATAGGGCGGGGCCAACTCAATATTGAACCCTACGGACTAAGACTGAGATGCCATTAAAGTTCATGTGCGTGTAAAAGGAAGCATCCCAATACTTTTGGCAATATAGTGTATATTGGTTGCTAAGGGTAACAGTGCGGTTTCTGACGTTTTCACTTCCACCATATGCCACAGGAGCCAGACCACTGATTCACCTCGGGGTATGTATCAAATCAAAGGGAAAAACATAATTGATGCCAGCAAAGGCTATTCCAATGTCCTGCAATAGTGCTCACCCATACTGCCCGCCAAGAAGGGATTTTATTTAACCTCCCTGGCGGTATTCCCGAGTGTAGCTCGGGGTAAAGTTTCTGTACCAAAAGCGGTAACCCCGAGCTACACTCGGGCTTACCATGCGGCGCTGCATAGGGAGTCCCTGCATAGCTTACCTTGTCCTTCGCTCCCGCGATGTGTCCCCTGCAGCGTCCCCGGCCATCTCCTCCTGCTGATGCCGGCATCCGG